AATATCGCCGTGTTTTTTTCAACGTATTTCTGTAATCAAATGCATAATGCTTTGTAATAAACAAACCGTAATTATATAGTTTGGAATAATTCAAATTATAAAAAATTATAAAAATTCGATATTTACTTGTAAAATTTTGATGATGTATTAGATTCTTCCTGCAAATATTCCAGGCATATATCTGTTAATTTATTTATTTCATTACAAACTTCAATGCTCCAAGGGCCATATTTTTCTTCAATCGCTACGATACTGTGTTCGAGATACGAGATCGAATTTAGCCATTGTCCTAAAATCAAAAAATAATAATGTTATATATTCAGGATGATAAATAACGCTTTATATATAGAAGCAGTCAAATTGACAGATTTGATCTGGACTGTCATTCCATGATGTATGTTCGCTGATACAAACCTATAATAGCATACACTTTTGCTATGAAATCCATAGTGTCGGCAATGTCGTCATGATATTTATATAATGCATCTTTTCTAAGACGCAAACATTTTTTCAATTTATCTAATGCTTCATTATAATTTTCATTTTCTATGCAAATTTCTGCTTTTTCAAAATAATGTTGGGCCTGTCTCAACGTGAAATCATAAATATTTTCGTAGACTGCCGTTCCACAATCCATACAGTGCATAGAAGATCTATGTAGTAGTACAGAGCAATTATCGTTCAATGGTCCACTACATTCAGGACACTTCTTTGCAGTAAATTTTTTCTATAAAAAAATAATATTTGTACACAATGATATATAGTATAGATAAATATCTAAAAATGATTAATGATTTACCAAAATATCTTCATATTCTGGTGCACTGCACGCTGCACAATTGCATTTAAAGCAATATTGACTTTCCATTTTTTCTTGTCTGTCTTTTCTTAACATTCTTCTAAAGTCAGCTCCTATTGCACAATATCAAACAGTGAAATCAAAATCAAATATTAATAAAATAATTTGTTAATTTGTTATTAATTTAACATACCATAACAATTAAAAACTTCTTCACCCGCTGCAATATCTCGTGTGGCTTTGGTTATTAAAAATTGCCCTAAAAAGCTAAAAAATAACGTTATTTAAATAAAAAAATATATATTTCTTACAAATATTTAAGCAATGAGCAATTATCTCATTTCTCGTAATCAAATATCTATATATTACCTATTAATTATATTAGGATCACAAGAATGATTCATCATACTTGCTGAGGGATAAATCGCAGTAGCTATTCTATCTTCTTGTTGAATAAAAACTTTATTTTTATTATAGCATGTATTATTTACTACAGCCTTTATTTTTGTAATAGCATGTCCATTAGAAATAAGTTGTAATATGTGTCTCAATAATAGAGAACTTACATATAATCGTTCATCATCCTCTGTTGTGAGGTCACAATTAAAATCGTTATAGAACTTTAAACATTCTTTAAGATTGATAGTTTTAAAAAAATCTGTATATTTTGATAAATACATCATAAGCATAATTGCCGTCTGAAAGAAGAAAGAAATAATAATATAATAAAAATTAATTTTATGAAGGAATTTTACTATATGCATGTGTCGTATATTTGATTTTTGCAAAAATTATATTACTTACGATTCCATATGAAATAACGTCGCCTGGTGAAAGTTTGGAAAAATTTGTCACTAACTTTTGTACTTCATTAACTCTGTTATCATCAATTGCAGTTGTACATTTAAACAACATTCTTACAGCCAGATATGCTATTCCAATTTCTGCCCAAAGGCCCATTTGATTGCCGAGACATTCCCAACGATGGTAAGACGAGCGTGCTTCATCCCAACAAGTAATATTGCAATATATACTGTCGACACATTCTGTACATCTATATAATTTAACACATTATATACATGTGTATATACATACATATATATATATAAATTAATCCCTCAAAAAATAAGAAATATAAAACTCACGGTACAGGAGTATTACCAGAAGAGCGACAACAATTGTAACAATTGTCAGATTTAATGTGACATAATGGGACAAAAGCAAATGCTTTTTCAACGAACAGAATCTGACCTCTTTTGATATCTCTATTAGCTACAACGTATCTTCCTTTTTCTGGAGTGCATTTTATTTCTACGGCTGCCGATGCAAATTGAAAATTAGGATTTTCACCAAATGCAACTTCAGGTAATGAAGGAAATTCAACAGTATCTGTAGTACTATCTGCATTTTCTTCCATACATGATATTTTTGACATTATATCATTTATTTGCCTCTGTAATTGCTCTAAAAATTTCAATAATTGATTATATAAAAAATATAAAAAAATATCTATCTAAATCATTTTCTTCTTAAACTTAAATATATTAAATACTTGCCTTTTGTTTCATTTGATATATTAGGCTCATTCAATATGCTATGCATTTGTAAGACAGTTTCAACAGCTAATGTTTTATTACCTAATTTTAGGTAACACTGAGCTGCACGTAGATGTAGTTTATAACGTAAATTCTCAGGATAGCCCAATTTAATTGCCAAATTGATATCATTGATGCAATCCTTTATATTATCAAAGTTAAAAATATAACAATAAATAATACTTGCAAATAGAATAAATAGAATAAATAATATAGAATTTGTTACTATAAATAAAATGAATTATGAAAAAAAGAAATAAATGATTATAAAAAAGCCAAAATATTGTAATGTAGTTCACACTAGTTCTTATTTACCTGCCATTTGTCCATGTAGAATAGAGAAGCTGATCTATTTGCAATTGCTATTGACAAATTTATACTACTAGAAGGAGCGTATATCGCACTGTTTGTATATGATTCGAGTGACGCTGCATATTTTTTCGATTGAAACTCCTTGTTCCCAGATAGCTTGAAAGCTGTTGATTTTTCCAAATTCTTCTGTTGTTTTCTCTCATTTTTTGTGTTATACAAATCTTTCAGCCAATAGGACACAAATTTCCTGCATTTCAATTAAAAGAAAACAATATATCTCAGAGTGTACACTCCCATTAATTAAAATTAATTTCGTTTATTGCTAAAATTTGACACACTAATAGACAAACACATATATTATAGTTAATTAAAAGTACCAGACAGTTAGAAACATAGAATGAGTGAAATTTCATTTGAGAAACAAATTAATATGTAAACTTTTCACCATTTTACTAGAATTAGGAAAAAGAGGAAACTATCTCGAAAGTCGGGATAACAAAAAGCTCTCCCTGAGCGACATGTAAATTTAATTGAACGATCGTACTCACATAACCTCTTGATTGTGCAACAAACGAGATATTAACTCGTTTTCGTATTTCATATTCCTTATCTCATCATTAAGTCGAGAAGGCTTCAGCACACAGTTCAAAGTATCGGTAACCTTATACCAATCCATCTCGATTGTAAGAACGTAGCTCCGAAAACGATCGCAAAGAAAGACGAGACAGGAATGAACAATGGACTAGAATATGGGCACTGAGCAGAAATCAAGAATAGACAGGAGTGAGAAAAAAATTACTTGTGACGACTATGACGACAGAAGTTGCTAGAAGTTGCTAAGGGCAGCGGGGCTGAGGAAGGGTGAGGGAAATGTCCAAAGCCAACGTACTGCGCCACTGCGTACCTACTGCGTAATGTAATACTGTGTTTAATGCGTTCGGTACAGTTCAATGTTAATATACAGTAACATTATATAAGTAAACTCAGTTATTTGCATTACATAGAATGTCATAGAAGATTAGTGCACTAAAAGTTATACATGAAATGAGCAAAATAGAATCGGTCTCACCTGGTAAGCTGACAAGAAAACGCAAGGCTACAATCATCGACGAGATTCTAATGATACTATTAAAAACGGCCGGACTTACGAAAGTTCGCGTGACTATTAAAATTAAAATGATTTAAGAGTAAGTAAGAAGTTGAAAATGTAGTACTAATTTCATGATTTATTAGTTTCGTAGGATATGCATATATGTTTAAAACTTAATAATACTCGATTTTTATTTAAAACTATGATTTTAATGTTATCAGCCAACCCAGCAAACGAAAATGGATTGAAATTTTTTTCTATTCGAATGCGTATTTTAAATAGCGAATACTTTTTTTTGGATTTAATTGGATTCAATTGGATGCAATTAGATTGAAAAACTGCATTTCCTATTTAAAATTTTGAATTGAACAGTATTCACAATGCACAAAAAAGTTAATATTATTTTTAAATTGAAAGGCACAAAGATATGCTCCATGCAATTCCTATAAATGAATAAAAATGCATTCAGGGTTGAAAAGCATTCATTTTAACATTCGTCAATCAATATTTCTGAAAATCTGAATCCATTTCAATTCATTTCAATTCATTCTCGTTTGCTAGGAAATTTGATTGTCAATAGAGATGATAACTCAGAGAAAAAGATAACTCAGGTAGAGAAAAAAAATTGTAATTTTTACAATATAGGATATAGCGTTAAAAGTATACTTATTTATGCTGTATTTATATAATAAAAAATTATGAATTTAATAAACGTATTATCAGAATATTTGTGTTAGTAATCGCAAATTTGTATCAATTGTCGATAATATCATCTTTCTCCTATTATCCATCCCATTGATATTCACGAAATTCGTCCGTTTTTTAATAAGAATAATAAGACGTTCTCGTCGGTGATACAATTAACGCGATGCTACAAACGTTTTGAAGCGTTTTTTTTTAATTGATCAGTTTGTAAAATTCTTTCTTCTGATTGGTCCATCAAACACTTCAAAGCACTTGTAGCGAAATTTCGACCACAGCCGCATTCATTTGATGCTTGGTTTCAAATTTGGATCTCCTCTCAAATTCATGGTGGAAAATTACATTGCATGTACATTTTGTGCACTGCGTGAGAGAAAACGCATATACGTGTATACAATACAAACACAAGAGTGGGAGCATCGGAAAGTGGGGGAGCTGGAAAGTGGGAAATGAGCAGAAATGGGAGGATGGCGTGAGACGAGCGTACCTCGTGAAGCGGCGTTGAACAATATTGTTGTACACAATGATTTGCACACGCTAATATATATCTAGTTACGATTTCTTCAATTTTCATACTCCACGTAGCCACACCAATTCCGTCCGAATATACTTGTGCGCGTGGTCTCGTCCAAAAAGTCTCAGATGGCGTTAATGGTTAAACGATCAGCTGTTCTGCATCGTGTATAAATTCTCGTCTCGTAGAATACGGACAGCGCGGATTCGCAATAGTATTCATTCAGCATTTCGGCACGCTGCAAGTCCTAAGAACGAAGTGCCGGCGTACAGTGGTGTATGTACAGTGGTTCGAAACTTTGACGAATTAAACATTAATAATTTTTATAAATAAACTACGAATTGTTTGTGACAGATATATGATATAATAATAAAGGAAAACGAACTTGAAACTGCAAAAATATGCCTCAGGGAAGAAGAAAAGTTCCGTTCAGCGGAAAAGCGAAAAAGCAACAAATGCAGGCTAAAAAACAACGGCAGCGAACTTTGCTTGGTACGTGTATTTATTATAAATACATTTATTATACATTTATTATAAAAATTTTAATAAAGTTTTATTAAGAAGTCTATTTTTTTTAAGCTTTTCCTTAAGTGAGAGTTTATTATAATTTATTATTTTATTACATTCTTTACTTAAAAATATGATGTGTTTACGTTAAGGAAAAAAAAAAACTTTGGAACTGTTGTAAGATTCTTTAATATGATTGATTTAAGTGTCCTCTAAAACTTTTATAGTGAATTTTGTTTTAAAGATTGAAATCTCACTTTGAAAATTGAGCTACTCTTTTCCAAGCTGATTCAATTTTCATTCTTTAGAATGAGATTCTATTCTAAAGATTTTAAAGAATATGTTTAAATTTAGAGAAGAAATATGAGTATTTATATTAAAGAATTTATAACATTTGTAAAACTTTTTCTATTAACGTAGTTACTGTTCCATGTTTCAATACTATAATGGCTTTTCAAAAGAATTTTGCAATTATTCTCACAGTTGGGTTTTTTAGCCTTTCTTTGAGTAATAAATCTTTATAAACTGTCCTCTAAATAACTCAAATATTTTTTCCCAATATTTGTCTAACTTATTATTTTCGAATTTCCATAACTTTCCTTCAAAAACCTTGACAATAAATTCCATTCCGACAATAAATTCCATTCATACATTGTCTATTTTTGAAATGCATTGTTGTTGCAATATTGGGTGCTTTTAGTGACTGAATTGACACATAATTCGTTCTACTCAAACAATACGCATTGTCTAGAAGACATCTTTATGATCTTTAAAATGTCTTTTAGGCATGCATGGCATATGTACATTTATATGCATAAAAAATAAATGTTAGTTAATTTATAATTTTTTATATATAATTTAATATATAATTTATTATGTTACTTAAACAATTTGCCATATATATTATTACAATATGTATATAAAGTAAATAGATAAAAATTATAAAAGTTATAAGCGTGTATGTATACTATATATAAAATTTATTTATATTAATTTTAATATAAATTATTTTATCTATCTT